GAGGCCCGGGAGAAGCTGCTTCAATGCAGCTGCCACCTTGCCCGCAGCGGGGACGCTCAGCCCGCCGAAGCCCTGGCTGCTTCCGAGCGGTCCAGAAGGGAGCGCGAGCCCGGGGCCGCTGGTGCCGCGGGCCGCGCCCTCAGCGCCCGGAGCTAAACCCAGTTCCGCCCTGCTGCCTGGGACAGGGAGACCCGTGTCCACCGTTTCCACCACTTGGGTTACCGCCCTGCCTTGCCTTTTGCCCCAGACCCCGTGGGAGCCCCGCTAACGAGGGGAGAGGGCAGCAGGCGGCTCCTCCCTCTCTGACTCGGTGCCCTGCCAGAACTCGGGCGTTGGGTAGGCCAAACGGGGAGCTGGGACCCTGTCCAGGGCTTCATGACGCCCGCCCCCGGCCCCCTCTGAGCCTCAGTGTCCACACCTGTGCAGTGGGCCGTGTTGCCGGGATCCTTCGGGACCTCTGGCACACTTGCAGAGGTCGGCCAGAAACCAGGAGGCCCGGCTTATTTCCCTTCTGCTCACTGGAAGGCCTGCTTCCTCCTAGTCCCCTGGGACCTAGCCAGCGGGGGGCCCACCCTGGAAAACTTGCGCAGGCCGCAGAGGTCAGGGTGAGGCAGCCTGTCCATTGGGGCTGGGAGAAACGGAGGCAGCGTCATGTCCCCATGAAGGTCTGGAGCCATCAGATATGGGTGTGGATGCACCCGCCTGTGACCTTGGGGATGTGGCGTCCCCTCTTTGGGCCTCAGTTTCTCCATCTGAAAAATAGGATTTCTAATGCACCACTCCCCGACCCCTGCCAAGATGGGTGCGATGATTCCTTGGGGCCATACATGTACTGGGTCAACAAAAGCAAGTTCCTTATTGGTGTTTGGGTGGTTAATATTGCCATCTATGCATCAAGACCCTTGGGCCAGTCTCCTTCCCTCTCCGCCTCAGTCTCCCCATCTGTTGGTGTGACTTTGTGCGTGTCTCAGCTGGTGGCTGTGGGCACTCACCCTGCAGTCATGGGGGCCTGGACCTTTGTACTGTTCTGGTCCTGCCCCCTTGTCCCTGTTGTTGGCACTCCCGTGGGCAGCCCTCCCACCTCGGAGGAGGTGGAGCCAAGTCCCCACTAGCTGCCCTCCCCAGACGCCTGGGAGGCTGTGTTTACTAGAAAGCCGTAGTGTCCTCAAGAGGATTCTTGTCCTCCTGCCCCCAGTCCTGGTGGGGATGCCGAGGAGATTCCAGAGCCCCTCAGACAGCCCTAGTCCTTCTGGGAGGTGGGAAAGCCACCCTAGCGTTGGCATGGCAACCAGGCTATCACCCACATCTGGCGAAGAACCTGATCTGCCAGTTTCCTGCCGCTGCTGGGGCCCAGCACCTGACCCTGTGGCTTTACTGGCCCATGCTGGAGTGGGAGCCAAGTGGCACCCAAGCCCCAGCCTCCTAGGGTGGAGGAGGGAGCTGGGAGCTTTATAAATAGCGGCTTTCTCTGGCTCTGCACGCCCACCCCCTGCTGCTGCTGTCTTAGACTCTACAGGCACAGCTCTCTGAGGGACCAGGGATGGTCAGTCAGAGCTGGGGGTGGGGGTGGGGGTGCTGAAATGTGACCCGGACAGGAAAGGCCACACAGGGAGCTGGGTCAGGGGCTGGCTGGCCCCTCCCAGCCAAGAGGGACAGGAGGAAGGCTCTGCCTGATCAGCGTGCCGGAAGCTCTTCTGGGTTGGCGCCCTCTTGCCTGGCTCTAGGGCACGTTGGGCCTTCCGTACACTGGGGCAGCTTGAAGAATCCCACCCCCAGCCCCACCTCGGCAGGTCCAAGGCCATGGTGGCGGGGTGAGGGCTTGGGGAGACCCCTTTTGTGGGGGTGCCTGGAATGCCTCCCAGGGGAGGGGCCCTTGACCTGTGCCTTGACAGCTGGGAGGGTCTTGAAGATTTGGCATAGGCTGGGTATTGGGGTGTGTGTGACAGGGACCCTGAGGCCAGAACAGGAGCGGTGGTAGGGTGATTACGCACGGTACGGGTAGCTGTACTAAGAACCAGTACAAGCCGGCGGGGTAGGCAGCAGCAGAGCTGGGTGGGGACCGGGTGCCTGGTGCGACTTTTCCCCTGTGGGCTGTGAGGAGCAGGGTGGGAGTGGAGGAGGCGGGGAGGGGCTGTGGTTGGCCTGGGTGTGGACATGTGAAGTGTGAAGAATCATTGGGGGGAAGGGGCCCCCAGGGTGCTAAGGAGGCATGTAGTGGAAGTACTCTATTACATAGTGATGATGATGATGATGATGATGACACCCCCACCAAGTTGGTTCTAACGCACAGCCGCTCTCAGTGGGGTGTCTGCGACTGTTCGTCTTTACGGGAGCAGACAGCCTGGTCCTTCTCCCAGGAAGTGACTTGTGGGTGTGACCCACCAACTTCAGGGTTCGAAGCCCTTCGTCCACCAAGGCTCCCCGTGAAGGTACCAGCAAAACTCTGTCAAGGCAAAACCAAAACCAGACTCCGTGCCATCAAGTCCAGTCTGACTCATAGCGACCCTACAGGACAGGCTAGACCTGCCCACAGGGTGGGTTTCCGAGACGACAGCTCTGTATGGGACTAGAAAGCCTCATCTTTCTTCCAAGGAGCTGTTGGTGATTTTGAACTGCTAATCTCGTGGTCAGTAGCCCAACACCTAACCCATTGTGCCCCCAGGGTTCCTCCTTGGTAAGTTAAGCACCTTCCAAATCCTTTGGAACAGTTCCCGATGTCCTCATTCTCCTGGGGTACTGGGGCCCAGAGCATGGGCTTCATCTCTCCGACCCTTGTTTCCTTATCTGGGGAAAAAAGGAGGGGCAGGACGGAGCCCCTGTCCTGGGAGACCCCAGCTTGGGGAACCTGAGGTAGAAGAGGAGGTGGAGGCAACGAGTGGGGCAGGGGGCAGAAGTGCTGGGAGCAGTGGTCCCCAGGAAGGGAGCTAAAGGCTCTGACCCTGCCAGCCTGGCCTGCCAGCCCTGCAGGGAGAAACCAACGCTCTGCTGCTGAGTGGCCTGCCCTGTCAGTGGGAGCCGCCCCGTGCTTTCTGGATTATTCATTGCTGGCCACTCAGGAGGGGCCTCTGGAGTCTAGGTCATGACTCTGACCCCCACGCAGCCCCGGCCCCTTGCCTGGCCTCAGTGGCTTCACCTGCCAAACAGGAGACCAACCCGAGCCTGTCTTGGAGGAGCCAGAGAAAGCCTTGGAGTCTCGGCTTGGAAACTGAGGACATCAGCCCAAGGGCCTTCGAGAGCAGCGTGGTCAGAGCTTTGGGCCCGGTTCTGGTTTCCCTCCGGGACCCACCTCGCGTCTGCCAGCCCTAAGGGGGGACCTGGGTGGCATCCTGGTGCCTACCTGCCCTTGGGGTGGGAAGCTGCCAAGCTTCCTGGGTGCTGGGTGCCCCCAGCCGTTGGCTTCAGTCAGTTGACAACGAGCCCTGTCATCTGGCCAGGCTTCCTCCCCACACCTCCCCTGCCCTCGGCGCTTAACCCGGCCCGCCACTGAACTTGGACTCCGGGACAGACCCTGGCCAAACACTCAGCCCTCCTCTTTCTCACTTCATCCTCATGGCCGCCCAAGGAGGGAGATATGGGTGCTCTTCCTTCTTAGCCCCAGTGGTGGTGTTGTTTTCCGCTCAGGAAACCAGTGCTCAGAGAGGCAAAGCCACTTGCCCAAGATCACACAGCTTGAAGCTAGGTGTCTGAATCCAGGGCCTGGGTCCTTTCCTCAGCAGCTCCCAGCTTTCTGGGGTGCCTCCTGAGAGCCCAGGCCTCGCCCTCTGCCATGTTTGCTCATGGACCCTATCCGCCGAGTCTTGCAGAGTCAAGCTGGAAGAACCCATACAAGATGGGCCCCAAGGGTTTCTCTGCCCTCTGAACTGTGGGCTAGATTGGGTATGACTGGGCATTTCTGTGGGGAGAGGGCCTAGAGAATTAGTCCCCAAACTTATTTGGCTTCCTTTTTAGGAAATAAAAAAATTACTCAGCATCCCCCATCTCCCGGCAGTGAAAACTTTTGTACTGTAGCCCATAATCCAGGATAAAGTAGAAGTATCTGCTTTTGTAGCCCCCCACCCCCACCCCGAGGGTGGTATCACCCTCTTTGAGAAGCACTGGTTTTTCGGTTTTATCAAAATTTCCAAAGCAGCTGTGATTCCTAAACTCTGGTCCAGGGGCCAGGGGAAGCTCAGTTAGGGTCCCAGAGCACATTAGGAGCAGGGTGAGTCTCTTGACCACCCTGGATGGCTGGCAGCTGGGCTTGGGGGCAGCGGTGCCAGGGAAAGCACTACCTGTCACCCTCCTCTCTGAGTCCTCCCCACCCCCTGACTCTGCCCTCATAGTTCACAGAGGAGAAATTCGGCCAGGCTGAGAAGACTGAGCTTGATGCCCACTTTGAGAACCTTCTGACCCGGGCGGACAGCACCAAGAACTGGACGGAGAAGATCCTGAGGCAGACAGAGGTGCTGCTGCAGCCCAACCCCAGTGAGTGGACGCAGGGGGCCCTGGGGGCCCGGGGCATGGGGAGCAGTGGTAGGAGGCCAGGCAGGTGGGGCGGGAACTGAGCGGGCAGGATGCGCAGTTAAAGAAAGCTCCAGGCCCCGAGATGCTCCCTGTGGCATGGCGGGACCGCTCTCTGTCGTGCAGGAAGAAATGCCTAGAGACTGCACCACACCTGGGAGGGGAGGTGGGAAAAAGAGAGACCCGGGTTTAGTCCTTTTAGGGAAGTCAGTGAGGCCGAGATGGAAAAGGGCTTGGCCAAGTCACCCGGCAAAGAGCGAGGGGACCAAACCGCCAGGACGAGGGTGACACCGAGTTGCAACGCTTGGATGCTTATAAATCTGATGTGGGACTGAGGGCCCGGAGAGCTGGTGGGGCTGGGGATGCTGCAGGTGGATACGAAGCCCAGTAAATCCATGCTGTCACAAGGAAGGCAGTCAACCAGCTTCGGTTTTGGCCCCGTCACCCCCTGCTGTCTGACGGGGGCAACTCCTTGGTATCCCGGAGCCTTAGTTTGTGTGGAGTGAGCAGTCTCACAGGATGCAGGAGGACTTAAGCAAGAGCATATTCTGGAAGTCGCGAGGCTGGGCGCTTCTGTGGCTGGTGCCTGCTCTGTCCTGCTTGGGCTTGGACCCAAGCGCCCCGTGGTGAGCTTGCTGTCGCCCCGCAGGTGCCAGAGTGGAGGAGTTCCTGTATGAGAAGCTGGACAGGAAGATCCCCTCGCGGGTCACCAACGGGGAGCTGCTGGCTCAGTACATGAGTGAGGCGGCCAGTGAGCTGGGGCCCACCACGCCCTACGGTAAGCCGAGGGGCCCACAGCTGCTCGGTGGTGCCCTCCCTGCCTGTTTTTCATTCACCCAATTGCTCCCCAAATTGACCCTCGTTATCACCTCAATCGATGCAGAAATAGTAAAAAAAAAAAGTAAATATTTAAAAAAACAACAACAGACATTTCCCCTGCCCGGTTCTGGGGGTGGGGGTGGGGGTGGTATGTGTGTGTGTGTGTGTGTGTGTGTGTGTTTTAATCGTGGTACCAGACGCAACCAAGCATCGGCCAGTTCAGCCGTGTTCACTCATCCGAATCAGGAACGGGAATGGCACTTACCAGTGGGGCAGCCACCACCGGGTGCACGTCTCAGTAAGATGGTGCCACACTTCCTATCCTGGTTGCTACCTGGTGTCTTAAACGTGGCATTGTTCTCCAGAGGTTTCCGACCGCTATCTCCCCTCCCCTCCCCTCCCCAATGGAACAGTTTTTATTGAGGCATTCTTTCCAGACCATGAAATCTCCCTATGTTAAGGGATCTTTTACACACCTTCACAGACACCCCTCCCCTCCCCAATGGAACAGTTTTTATTGAGGCATTCTTTCCAGACCATGAAATCTCCCTATGTTAAGGGATCTTTTACACACCTTCACAGACACCTGTTCAAGGCTTGTTAGTCATTTGGCAGGCAGTCCCACAAATCCAGATCCCGTGTCGTTTCTGTGGACAGCGGTCCTTCCGCCCAGCCCCAGGCGGCCAGGAACGGACTCGTTTCCCGCCCTGTGTGTCTGCCCTTCCTGAGCAGTGCAGTGAAGACGTGCCTCAGAGAGCCTTGCTTTGGATTCCTTTCACCACCTATCCTAATGCTTTTGAGGCTGGGCCATGTTGTAGCGCATCTCGGGATTTTATTCCGCTTGATTGCCGACAAGGATTCCTTTGTAGGCTCCCCATCCACCAGTGGGTGGAGATCTGGGTGGTTGTTCCATGATCAATTTGCTTGGCCGTCTCTGGGTACACAAGTTTTCAGTCCTGCGGGAACACCTAGGAGTAGAATTGCTGAATCATGTGCGAAACTTACGTTTCACGTTTTAAGAAGCTGCTAAAACGCTTCCCAAAGTCGCTGCTGGCTTTTATATTCCCGCCCCGGGAATTTCTAAGTATTTGTGGATTTTCCAAGTTTCCTCCTGTTGTTGATTTCTAAATTCCTTCACTCTGGTCAGAGAAAGGAGCCCCGGGGGCGGAGTGGTTATACGTTGACCTGGTCACTGCCAGGTCAGCAATTCGAAACCACAGGCCGCTCCTTGGAAAGAGAAGAGGCTTTGTACGCCCTAGAAGAGTGACAGTCTCGGAAACCTACAGGGGCAGTTTTACCGTGTCCTAGAGGGTCGCTCTGGGTGGAACGGACATGCTGGCCCTGAGTTTGAGTTTGTGTTTGGGGGGCATGCTAAGAGCAAAGAGCTCTGGTGTGGATTACAGTTCGGTTGCTAATCCAGCAGCCATTCTCTGGGAGAAAGATGAAGCTTTCTGTTGCTGTAAAGATTGGTAGCCTCTGAAACTCTAAGGGGTAGTGCTCCCATGCCCTTCTGGGTCACTAGGAATCGGGGATTGATCTGCAGGCAGCTGGTATGTCAGGGAACATGCTTTGTGTGGTTTTCATCATTTTACTTGTATTGAGACATGTGATATGGCCTCGCATATGGTCTGTCTTGGGGAGAGAAGTTTCCACGCGCGCTTGAAATATATTCTGCTGTTGCTGAGCAGTGTGTTCTATAAACGCCAGTTACGTCTGGATGGCTGGCGGTGTTGGCCAAATCTTCATTATCCTTGCTGATGTTTGGCTCGTTGCCCTATTTACCATCATCACTGTGTTATAATGATTTATCTCCCCCTTCCCCCATGCTCTCGTACGCCGTCTTTTGTCTCGATGGGTGGATTTCCCTCTTCTAGTTTACGTCAATGGTATCATACAATCTATATCCTCTTGTGTAAGGGACGTACCTCCCTTAACCTAGTGTGTTCAAGGATCATGTGTGGCGAGGTGTATCAGGACTCCACTTCTCGTTATAACTGGATAATAGACTTCATCGTTTATGTACAAGGATAAGTCAGAGAGCATGGTTACGATGTAAACGAAAATATCAAAAGGTGAAGCTGTGGTCTCTGGACGTAGCTATCCATGCAGGCACATGTAGGTAGCCTTCTGCAGGCCATCCCCATCTTTCAAACCCTTCCCCAAGAAGCCTGCGCCCTCTGATTCAGACCACATCAAAACGGCAGCTTGGCCCTTTTAAATGGTCTTTGATTTGGGGCCACAAGAAAGAAGTCTGAGGGGGCAGGTCAGGCTGTCACAGGTGGATAGGGTCAGGTGTCCCGATAAAACTGTCTGCAGCCAGCTCTTGTTAGCCTTGAAGAATGTGCAGGGGCCTTGGCATGATGGGGGGGAAATTATCAGTGCCACTGCCCTGGAATTTCCTTCACCCAGCTAACCAAGAGCTCCTAGTTGCCCTGTGCGTGTCCTTTACGAAAGTCTATCAAGATGACTCCTTAGGAACCCCTAAAACAGTTGACGTAACTTTCCGAGCTGACCTCTCTGCCTTAAATGTAAGTGGCCGAGGAGATTTCCCGAGGAAGCCACTAGTTTGTTTGGACCTTGTTTATTGAAGACACCCTACTGAGACGAAGACGTGACTCGGAAGGGGCTTAAGGTAATGGAACTTCTCTAGGAACTTTTGAAAGCCCTCACGTTGCTGCGTGCGTGGCCACTCACTGATCACAGAGACAGGCTTAAGCACATTTTGTGTGGAACAAGCCCGTGTACGTTGGGAAGGGGAACCCGAGTGGGCCACATTTTGTCTAGCCATTCGTCTGTGGATAGAGACTTGAGTTTTCACCGTGTGTCTGGGCGCGAGGGTGGCCTGCACGTGCCTGTCTGAGTCCCTTTTTTCAATCCTGCTGAGTATTTACCTAGAAATGACTGGGTCACGTGGTATTTTCTATGTGTTTGTTTTGTTTTGTTTTCAGTGTAATTGCCAAACTTTTTCACAGCCGCTGCACTATTTTGTATTCGCTTAGTGATGAAGAAGAGTTTGGATTTTTTTTCACCTCCTCTCCAATCGTGGATATTTTCTGATATTTTTGTTTGTTTTAAATAATACTTATCCTAAGGAATCAAACCAAAATCATCACTGCCATCGAGTCTGTTCCTACTCAGAGCTGCCTTCTTTCCCTTACAGGACAGAGCGGCACTGCCCTGTGGCTTTCTAAGACTGTCGGCAGCTTTTATAGGGGTCGAAACCTCTGCTTTCTCCCACGAGTTCAGAGCGGTCTTTGCATCACCTGGATATTCAACTCATATCTGATGTATACGGTTTCCAAATATGTTCTCCCCTAGGTGCCCTTTTCATTTCCTTAATATTCTTTGATGCACAAAAGTTTTACATTTTGACCTTGAGGTCCCGTTTATCTTTTAATTTTCCTTGTATTTTTGGAGTCATCACCAGAAATCCATTGCTTAAAAGAACACCCTGAAACTTGACCTTTTCTTCTAAGAGTTTGATGGTTTTCAGCGCCCACGCTTAGAAATCATATCCATTTGAGTGGGGTCTGGTGTGTGATGGGACGTCACGGTCCGGCTTTGCTCTTTCCCGGGTGGGAATCAGTTGTTCCTCATCCTTTTGCTGAAGAGACTGCTCCCTCTCCAGTGAATGAGTTCAGTTCCCTTGCAAACAGAAACTGGACTTAGATGGATGGGTTTCTTTCTGAATGCTCGTCTCGATTGCATTGATCTAGTTGTGCATCCTCATGCGAGGACCAGACTGTTTTCACTATTGTAGCTTCATAGTATATTTGAAATCAGAAATGAGTTTTTCTCCTTTGTTCCCCCCACCCACCCCCACCCCGAGATTGTGTGGGCTCTTCAGAGTCGCTGGTAATTCCACATGCGCTTGAGGATCGATTTTCCCATTTCTGCTAAGACTGCTTTGACATTTCAATAGGAATTATGCTGTATCTGTGGATCACTTTGAGTAAAACTAACATCTTAGAAATGCCAGTC